TTCAGAACTTTATGTCTGTTTGGATTTTTCTAAACGAATTCCAAAATTTAGATATAAGAGGAATTAACTACTGTAGCTATCAAATTCCGGTTCAATGAAAAAACGCTCATTCAACAAATAAATGGACTATCTAAGAGACCGGATGAGATGCCATACCCAGTCGGAAGGATTGGCAGTGACAACGTCCATGTGCATTCCCACAAAAGACAGAATCTTTCCGGGCTGGGTGCCAGGGTACTCGACGATAAGATTGCCCCGATTGGGCTTGTAGGTGACATGGTTTATAACTAGCGGCCCGCCGCCGCTGGCGGTGCTGTAAGGGAGGAGGGAGTCGAGAACGTGTTTCACTATCCTGTCCTCCTCCGGAATCAACTCAGGTGGGTTGTTCTGCACATGCTTGGACTCGCCGATCAGCTTTCTCAAAAGGGCCACAAACCGCTCCTTATTCAGATCACCGAGGGCTTGCTTCACTGAAGCCATTAGAGAGCTCGGAGGGATGACTGTAACCAAAATGTAAAGGCTGCTTCAATTCCGCCTTCGATCAACATAACATTTTGCTTATATACTCCGTATTTACAAAATACTCCCTCCTGCAAGCTTTCCACATGTTATTTTGTCCATCCCACTACTGAATGAGAAATGCTATTGGTACCCCCAAAATGGGATACCCCATTCTTACCCCGGCCTATTGTGTGGCCATAAACGAGGCAACACATTTAAGTGGGACCACTTAAATGTGTTGCCTCGTTTATGGCCACACAATAGGCCGGGGTAAGAATGGGGTACCCCATTTTGGGGGTACCAATAGCATTTCTTACTGAATAACTGATCCCACTGAAATTGTTCAATTCTATTTTTAAAAAATTATAAAAATAATTTAATTACAATTCTTCTACGGAGTATAACATTACAATTATAATGAATGGTACTCATTATGTGCTATACACATTAAAACTACTAGTATTTCTTTCTACCTCCATCGCTGATTTTTTTTGTCAAACTTTTGATAATGATTTCAATTATTATACGAAGTATTTGTATATAATTTTTAAATTTTATACATTTTATGATTTTTTTTTGAATAAGTAACATTTTGATATAATTTTCATATTTTAAATAATTTCGTACTAAAAAATATCGTTGGTCAAGTTGATTGTCATTAACTAAGAAAAGTCAATTTGACGAACCTTTTCAGGATGGAGGGAGTAAAATATAGTCGAATTATCTTATATACGTAGTAATTGTTATGGAAATAACTCCACCATTTTTCAACATGAAGCTTAAGTTATGATAAAAAAAAAAAACAAGAAGCTTAAGTGAGACAAATGTAGTACGTAATAATATTTAAACAAAACCTTTAATAAAAAGTGCTTAAATGATACTTCATGAAAATGACATTGTTTAAAAAAATGCATAGGTGTAAATGTTTGTGTGCACCTTCTTTCCTCTTCCTTTCACCATCGTCTATTCATCTCCACCACCTTCCTTCTTTCATAATTACTTCTCTCTTTATCTTTCTATTTTTTCTACACACTCCACCTTTGACATCATTATCGATCGTCATCTTCACCTTTCTCATTTTCTATGACCGATAAAACAAGTGAAGTTTGAGATTCGGCGAAAAATAAGAGGTGGATAATTGCCAAAATATTGTATGTGCCATCTGCAAAATATTGTTCGTGTTATGCTCAACTTTCGCTACATATATAATTTGTGAATAAAGAAAAATAAAACTGAAAACCAGTAACATTTTGTAGAATTGCTTCACATACAAAATTAGTTGTATAGACACTAGTTTGCATGTCATTCACATCGATTTGTGTTTTTTTGCATAGAAGTCAATGTTAGGTTGTACGGAATCCCATGTATGTGCATACGTACATCATTTGTCTATGTACATATCTACGATAGGCCAAAAGTCTTACACACAAATAAAATATGTGCAAATACATTAAATTTTTGTTTGCACGCAGACAAATAATGAGTGTGCAAAGACATTGATTTTTGTGATTTAAGCACAAGGTTTCTGCAAAAACACTCGCAAATCAATGTGAGTTGCACGCAAATCAATGTTCATATAGAAACATTAGTTCTCTAAATTCGGACATTTTTTGTATGTGCCTAGACATTTCGTGTTAATAGAATTTGATTTCTATAGACATAAAACTTAGTTTGACAAACATTTACTAATTTTCAGTTTAATTTATTCAGATATTCAAACTTGATCAAATTTAGGACAACCCATATACTATTTTACAAACTACACAGATTATAAGTTCCGCAATATTTGTGGTAACCTCATTCTCCAACTCTTTATTTTTTCACTGACATTTTAGGCAACTTCAATTTGGGCAACCCATGAAGTAGGTAAGATGAGATATGATACAATCAGGGCTGATCCTGAAAAAATAGAGACCCGTTGCGACAAAAAAAGGGAATAGAACATAAATAATAGAACATAAATAATAATGGTAATAATAATAAATTACCGTAAATTTCTATAATAAATACAAGTTAACATTGAACATAACAGCAAAAAACAAGTGTATTCATTAATTTTGACTAAATAACTTTAAACCCAAAACCTAAAAAGTAATACTCCCTCCGTCCCATTGGACTTTGTCAACTTTCCCTTTTTGGTTGTCTAAAAAAACTTTCTCACTTTCCTATTAAAGTATCTATTTTGTGTTTCTGCTCATATCTCTCTCGTCTCCACAAATTTCAACCATACAATTTTTTCTATTCTTATTTCTCACCTAATTCAAAGAGCGCAAACTCCATTGGGACAAAGGTAGTAAGAATAACATATGTATACACTTATACCAAACAATTAAATATAATATAATTAGTTCAATTTATTCATCAAACAATTACACAATATGTCAATACACAAAATAAAAAATAACAACCTCAATACTTAATTTCTTAATTTTTGTACGGAGTAATAGATTAGGAGGCCCAAGGCCTAATAAACTTACTTGCGGTGGAAGGTGGCGACTTGACGTGCGGACTGCTGATAATGCCATCTTAGTACAAGAAATTGTCCGCTCCCTCCAAGCCAAGAAAGGTAAGAAAGACCATTTTGACCATGAAGGTGGATCTCTATAAAGCCTTTGATTGTGTAGATTGGGTATTCCTAAAAACACCCTCCTCCATTTCAGTTTCCCGACTAACTTTATTCACCTCATCCTCCATGCTATCAAGGAAACCATAATCTCAATCCTTTGGAACGAGGAAGCGTTGCCTGAATTTCGAGCAAATCGTGGGCTTTGCCAAGGAGATCCGCTATCACCATACTTGTTCATCTTAGTTATGAAGAGACTCTAAATCAATATGCAATGAAATTGATAAACACAATAGAAGCTTCCTTTGGGGCAGCACTAGTGAAAGCAAAAAAGTCCACCTTATTAATTGGGAGGATGGTTGTAGACCCAAAGCTCGGGGCGACCTCGATCTTCAAATGGCAAAGCACATGAACGAGGCCCTTGTAGCCAAGCTAAGTTGGAATGTTATCATCAATAAAAACAAAATTTGGGTTCAAGAAATTAACCAAAAGTGCATCCGAAATGATGAACTTTGGACTGCAACCATCAAACAAAGTTCATCAAACATTTGGCGCAACATCCTACAATGTCGCGACATGCTTGAACGAGGGGCCAAATGGAAAATTGGAAACGGTGGACTTGTTAATTTTTGCAGGGACTGGCGGGTAGGAGATGATTCTCTCAAATATGTATTTGACTCCCAAATTCCCTACACAGGTGACCACATTAAGGTGTCTCATATGATTAGGCAGGATTTCTTGGGATCTTGACAGACTGATCACTCTATTACCGGAAAATGCGGTTGATGAAGTTTGCACAATCCCAATCCCTATCAATTTTATGGCTAATGATTGCCTTACTTGGAATTGGTCTGAATCGGGCAATTTTATAGTTAAAACAACCTATGATTCCTTACTTGAAGAAGAAGAAGAAGAAGAAGAGGAAGAATGTGTTGATCGCAACCCGACAGTTCATGGACTGTCTGTCATGCAGAGGAAGAGTATATTGTTCAACTATTTTGGGATTGCGATATCGTTAAATATTGTTGGTTCAGGTGTGGTCTTCGAGCAATGGCTACTGGGAAGAGTTGCGAGAGCGTTCAGAACTGGATTCAACGAATTTGTGGGTTGAGCACGACTCAAGATCCTACCAACCCCGCTTTTACGTTATAATTAAGAAGTTGAAACTATCATTAAGCGGTCGTTGGGATCTTGCTGAAAACACCACAATGACTATAGAAAAAGAATTACGTAGTATTTCACAAAAACTGAGCCCCTAGAATGGTCAAATGGCGGTATCCACATGAAGATGACCTCAAACTCAACACAAATGGTTCTTTACGGAAGGAAACAAACCATGCAATAGTAGGGGATATTGTTCGAGGCCACATGGGAAACAGTGTCAATGGTTCTGTGCTAAATATTGGGCCAGTGAACAACTTCAAGGCTGAACTATGGGGCTTACGTCATGGCATCATTCTCGTGCACAACAAAGAGTTACACAATGTGGTGACTGAAATCGATTTTGAGGATGTTGTATGTGCTCTTAAACCAAACGTTAATGTTGAAGGCGATGCGGTGTACCCTCTCATCGGAGACTGCCAACATCTACTTAATCAAACTCATTTAGAAGAGCATACATCACTCTATACGAAGATAACAAATGCGTCAATTTTTTAGCAAATATGACTCCTCGCAAATATTCTCTACATAAGCCAAAGCAATTGGAGTCTCATAGTGTTTGTTATTTCAACAGTTTGATTCACCCACTCTTATACTCATCTTATACCCACCATGTCGGGGTTCATAGACAAAAAAACTTCACAAACATAGGTGAATACAAAAGTGAATTTAAGAGTGGTACAAATATCATTTTTGTTGTTATTTTTCTTTTATTTTTATTTTCGGTTGTACAAAAAAACATCGTTTTTTCCAAAAACAAACACCTGGTTTCTGTCCCCACTCCCCAGAAACTGGCTCCAGCAATTCGCTGACCATACATAACACATCAGAGTATCAGACACTCGTACACCTGTACGCAGATACTCCGCTCCTGTCGCCACTGAAGACGCCGTCGCCACTGGGCCGCCTGGACGTTCCTCGCGACCTCGCTGCAGCCCAAGTTGACTGAGTGGGTGATTCCTAGCCCTCTCCTCTCGATTCCCAGCTGACGAGCGAAGAAGGCAGGTACTCGATCTCTGGCTCGACACCTTTATTTTAAGCAATTTCATAGTTTTTAATCTATGAAAAGTTAGGACTTTTGAAACCTAATCTGTTTCTTGTCGAATTTTCATTTGCTCAACCCTTTTTCTTTAGATCTGAAATTCGGTTCACATCAATTATTAATGTTATATTCAAACACTCCAATGTATTGTAGGATCTTTGTCAACTTCGGGACCTTCTCTGTGTGCTTTTAGTGTCTTACTATCGAACTGGAAATACCTTTTTGAGATAAGCTCATAGGAAAGAACATTTTTTTATGAAGTTAAGCGCCAAGCTCATTTTTCTATTTAGTTTTACTTGATCTTATTTTGCCTGCTCACCCGTTGCTAGTTTATTTTTTGACTCCTTCACATATGATTTTGAAAATGTGCACAAACATTGATTTCCATGTCGCCCAACATTGACATCTCATCTCATTTAATAAACACATATCAGCCTGCAAAACAATATGAGTGGAGGATAAATTATGTATGTGTACAAACATTAGTCATCAATTACAGTTTTTTTTTGGTTGATTTCTTCCTACAAACAAATTTTGCATGTGGCCAAACTAATTCTCTTTATCCAATCCAATCCATGCGTACAAAAAGTTGATACACATTCTATTTTTCCTAACACATATCTTGTAGATGTAATTAACATTTTTTACCTGTAGGCCATAGATCAGCACCTTTTCTCAAAACCAAGGCGTGTACATTTGTTATATTTCAAATAGTGAAAGAGTGATACTTCCACCCCGAATTAATGCTATAAACACTTCCGTTTTTTATTATCTAGATTTGAAGTAGTAAGGTGCCTGGTTCTTTTTCCTCTGCATCCATGGCAGCCTCCAAGCTCCAAGCTCTCTGGAATCACCCTGCTGGTCCCAAAACCAGTGAGTTATGACTTTACTTTTAGAATAACTTTCATTTGTTTAAATGTGATTGTGACAACGGGATCGTATTTAGGTTTGGCTCTGATTTTCATACAAAATTTGTTGAATCAATAAGCGCCATTCGAATTCAGAAGATAAAAATAGTTGCGTAAACTAATCAGAGAGAGATGGGAAAAAAAGATTCTTTAAAAATGACTAGGCAGAAGACAAATTTCTGAGAGGATTGGGGACTTGAATGTAGACTATGCAAGAAGCACTGTGCTATACATTTGTACAATTGTACTTCATCTTTTTTTATTAGCAATATGTCTATGAGATAGCTGATTTATGTTCTCCTCTCTCATGTTTTCTAGTTCATTTCTGGGCACCGACCTTCAAGTGGGGTATTAGCATAGCTAACATTGCTGACTTCTCTAAACCCCCAGAGAAGCTCTCCTATCCCCAGCAGATAGGTATGACCCTCCAATATCTATGCCTCTTCTCAAACTTCATCATCCTCCTTTAGTTGTAGTGTCATGTGATTATGTTTTGATTCTTTGAAGCATCTTTGTGTGAATTGATATTATAAGTAACTTTTTCCTAATGCTGTTTTAATCCATGCAGCGGTTACTGCCACTGGAGTTATCTGGTCACGCTATAGCACTGTTATTACACCTGTAAGTTCATAGCTTTATAATGTGTAAAGCCCTATGTTGACCGACATAATTTTTTTTAAAGTTAACAAGTAATCTAATAGTAGACTTTAAGATGTTAGAGTAGAAGATGTCAGAGAACAAGGCATTGTCTATAAGTTAAAAGCAGGCAAGAAACTGTAAAAACATGTCAAGCTCTATGAACTCAGATACAATAATTCCTGAAGGACATGTTACTTTTCCTCTTTGTATTTCAGCAAAATGGAAAAAATGTACCGACTGAATTGTTACAAATTTTATTTGTTGGTATGTTTTGAATCTCGCGCCTCAAAGATCACACATCGCCTCCCTGAAACTAACCACATTGATACCCAAACTAGCCTTTGTAAATTGTGATGATTTTTCATCCTCTAATAAAGTACTCACTATTACTTGTAAAAAAGAAAAGATGGAAAAGGTTTGTATGTGCCTCATAAGCGTGCACATTAGAATGTCATATTGCTTGTACTGTATATATTTTTTAATTTGGCTTCTTCACTTGCATAGCTAGATTGCTACAGTTTGTGTTCATTGGAATCTCATCTTTAGTGATCTATGTAGACCTTTTGGATTTGATGTTTAGTTTTTAGCTCTTGATGTTTCTTCTAATCAACTTTGCAGAAAAACTGGAACCTATTTAGTGTAAATGTGGCCATGGCCGGTACTGGCATCTATCAACTTACTCGAAAAATAAGGTATGCCATTTTCTGTAGTCACACACTTCCAGTTCAGTACTGGCTGAGTTTCTCCCGTCAAGGAGGTCGTGGATCTGAATCCTACTCTTTTCCCAGAACAAATAAAATAGGACCTAACAGCTTGTTTGGTTACAAAAATGAAGTATATAGGGAAAGGAAAATAAGCAGGGAAAAGAAAATTCATTATTTGGTTGGTAGGGAAACTTCAGGGAATAGATATTACTCTATTTGGTGACTTTGAAATGATGGATAGTATTCCATATAAATGGTAGGGAAAATTGGATGTATATACACTTTTTAATATCTACGTTGAAGTCAATGGTATGTATTTAAAAAAATGCATAGTCATTTGTTATACTTCACGGAAATAATGAAATATTATGTCAATTATAATCATATTCTGCGTGCATATCAATTTTCTTTAAATACACAAATCCTATATTAACGTGTTCTACATTTTTTAACAAATAAATAATGGCTACTAACTCAATGTAGCCTTCTTTCTTAAAAACTATGGCCATATTTGGTAAATGACTGATCAGCCACGTTTTAACTTATTTGACCATTTTTAGCTGGTTTGGCTAGCTAAGTTGTCAAATATTGTGTTTGGTAAATTGTTGTTGTGTTCAGCTGCTGGCACTTCAAAAGCCAACATCCTACACGCTAGCAATAGTAGCGTTTCTCTTTGGCTGCTTGATACATTCTTATTAAATACCTGTTAAACCCCTTTCTCTTTTTCTTTTTAATCCTTTCCTTAATACTTGCTGCATATATACACTAATAATACACGGCCCCTCAACAACAAATATCACTGAACATCAAAATACTTGAATTTGTTTTCATGTAAAAATAGTTTTTTTCATTTCAATTCATTGTTTAGTTAGGGGGTGTTTGGATCTGATTCTTAAAACTACTTCTGCTCCTTCAAGGAGCAGAAGCAGAAGTTGGAGTGTTTGGGTGAAAGTGCAGAAGTGATTCTGATGCTCTAATTTACTCCTAGAATCAGTTTTTTAGAAGCCGAAGGAGATCAGCTTCTGAAAACTGATTGTGATTATGCTTCTGCTTTAAAAAAGAAGCAGAAATAGAATTAGTTCCAAACACCCCCTTACTATTTTAAATTTCAAACATATATGATTTTTCTATTTTATAGTAATTGTAATCAACATAATTTTTTCAGTTATCACACTTTTTTTTACCTCATAACAACTATTTCCATTCAACTAATTTACCAAGCAACTATTTATAAATAGCTAACATAATCAGCCATTCAAAGTAGCTAATTCAACCAGTTATAATCAAACCGCTAACCTAACCAGCTAACATTTAACAGCCGATTGCCAAACAAGGCCTATATCAAAATATACCTTCCAAACATGTCTTATTTACAAAAGTTGGAAATAAATCACACAACAACATCCAAGCCTTAATTCCAAGAGATTTTGGGGTTGTCTAACATGAATGGATACATGATATCGGAGCCAAAAAGGAAAGAAAGATAAGCAAGATAAGAAAGATGAAAAAGATAAGAGCCCATTCACGATGGTTACCGCTGTTGAATTATTGTTCCTTTGCTATATACTATAGTATAAATCAAAACTACTCATACTAAAATATGCGAAATTTTAAAATGCCAACCTCATATAACTGAAAGCAGTCTTTTAGATTCCACAATTCAATTTTTTTTTTAAAAAACTTAATAGAGGAACTGCCTTGCATGAGCTCTTACCGAATAAAAACCCAAAAATATTTTACATACAATGATTTGTTGGAAATCTCATTATATTTTGTCTGCTCAGTCATAGGAGCTTACAAGCATTTTTTTTACTAAACAAGTAACTTCCAATTTTGCACTCTTAATTGTGTGAAATCAAAATAAATATGTTTGAAGTTACTTTTCTGGCTGAATTGGTTGAATTTGATGAAGATGACTATTTTTTAGCTATTTTTGCTATTTTTGCTATTTTTCTTTGTTTTATTAATAAAATATATTATAAATTTGATTTATTCACAATTCAGTAGATTGAACTATTAGAAATTCACCAATTTTCGACAGATTCAAATGATTTCAGTGTTATCTAAGCAGGATCATGTAATCCTAATGCTTAGCTGACCGCCAATTTCAATAAAGTTACTTTTCATCCTCTGAAGATTCTTATTGGAAAATCGGAAATGTGACATGTAATTGTTTATATCCCTTCAGGCATGATTATTTTGATGCCCAGCAAGCAGCTATATCAGAAGATTGATGATAATATCACTAGTGGACTTGACTTTAGTTGCTTTGTCACTTCTCAAGACCAAGTACTATGTCTGCGTATGTCATACACCACATTTGGTCTGGGATATTGTATGTGTTCTTTCATCTCAATTCTCAAATCAAGCGACAAAAAGTGCATAAGGCTACTTGCCTTGGGATTTCAGTTTCCAATTTTTGTTATAGCGAAGTCATATTTGGCGGTGCATATTGTTGTTGTTTCAAGAATATTGTGTTGTGGTTTATCTTATTTCTCAACATGATGGGTTAAGTTATTATATAGACTGTCTGTGCCTCCAAGGCATGTGTTTATTCAGGTGATACTTGGGGAACTCTTCTTAGTATATTCAGAGAATGTCATTAAGAATTCGACTTATTCAGACAACATCATTATGAATTCGACTAGCAGATCATGTTTTTCATTCTAGATTTCCAGCAGACAATGTTCAGCTACCCTGCCCAATTACACAACACTTGATTTATAAGGGGACGAACTATTATCTTATTTATTTATGTATCACTATAGGTCTATATTTATACAAGTTTTCTTGGCAATCGGGACATGAACCGGAAACTATATATATTGTCAGTTGTGGTCAATTGGCCGGTAATGGTTTCGGTTTTGGTTCAGTCTGGTTCAGTCTATGATTTTAGTTTCTATTCAAGTATTTGTTACTTAAATGCATTTCCAAAAGCAAAAGTAAAAACATTTTATTTCAAATCTAAAGACATTACAAATGTATGAGTTATGCAATTGTATTATGAAATGTGTGTATTTGCAACTATTTTTTATGAATGAATTATTTTTTATTTTCATTATTAATGTATGAATTTTAATTAAGATATTTATTATAATTATGAGAAACAGCATTGCAACAATTATGTAAAGACACTATTTATTTCAAATTGAGTGATGTTAAAAATATTACGGACTAACATATTACGTAGTACATTAATACAATATAAGGCTTAAGCCTTATTGAATTTGAAAGGGTACGCAACACTTGATACATTTAGAAATGTACACAACACTTGCTCAGTATTGGTATGCAAGAGGAGTATTGGGTTCGTAAGGAAGAATTCACATAACGTACCTTACGTACATATCATAATTAATCGTTTCATCTTTTCTAAAACGGTAATGTGTGTGCACACAAAATATTTAAAAGATTCTTAATAAAGAAGTAACAAGTTTTGATTGAGACAGAGTGAATAGGCGAAGAATCCTTGAATAATAAATTGGGAATGTGCAATTGTGCATGTAGAATTGTAGACGAATGCTAGATGAAGATTAGAGAATATGAAAATGTAGGTTAGACTTTAGAGTTTGAAACTTGAAAGTGGTGGAAAATATAAATATAATGAAAGATATTTATAATTTTATAAGATATGATTATCATATTCCTACTCGCCAACTACCCACCAAGCTTGGAAGGTCACAAAAGAATTTGCTCCACTGTCGCGTGAACGTGTGCTTGCATTGATCCAGAGTACATTTTTGCAGAATCTATCTTAATCATTAATGCGATGGAAGTATATGGTGATTATTAGTCAAAATTTGGAAATGAAATGATAAAATTAATACTCCGTACGAATTTTCTAAATGTATGAAGTCGCCATATTAAAAAAATGATACAAAGACGCCTTCAACATATGCATAAGTGCATAACTACCTTCGTTCTTAAATAATCAACTTTGCATATTGATGTACAACATTAACCATTAATATATTTAATTCTCTATTAGTAAAAAATTAAAAAATTCAAATATATTTTTAAAAAATTTCGATGAGATAGATTTAAAAATATATTTTTAAAATTATTTATTAATACTTTAATTAATATATAAAATGTAATCATAGTACGTAGAATATGTGAATACTGTAAAATTCAACATGCTGCACTTATTTAAGAACCGAGGTAGTATAAAATGCATGCATGCACATACTTTAGTTACATACTTTATATTTTACACTATACATGAAGTTATTCTACTATGACTTTTGACGGCATTAAAGTCATCTGTGCCTAGAAATATATTCAATATTAGCACTTTTACGTAGTATAGTGAAATAAGGTTCATATCCACATGAAAATATGTACTTTTCTTTATGAACTTGTAACAAAAAGAAAGGGTGGGTTTAAAATTGTTTGATTTGAAAATAATTAAATACTAAGACGAACAACTTATATGAGATAAAAGACTTGAGTTTTGCTACTTTCCACTTGTTAAAATGTTTGTTGATCCCGGTCATATCTTTAACTTGTCCCCTCTTGAATACTCAATCGTGGAGTATCCAATTCATCGAGGGTAGTTATCAATAGCGAGAACGTTCACTAATAACCCTTACTATTAGCCAATTGTATAGAAAACCGCCACATATCGACTTGATAGTAGCATTTAATCTCTTAACTCAATAATGAAATCAATTGACAGTGATAACCTCAACAAAATGGTTTCGATTCAACCAACACAATTAATCTCTCTTAAGATTACTTAACATGAGACCATGTATTAATAACACAAAGTTACTTACTTGTGATATCATTAATGATTAACCACTGATTCATTGATCGTTTTTAGTAGTAATTAATGTCAAGACATTAACTAATCGTCACCCCAACATTAATATAGAGATAGATTAAGAGAATAATTACTATTTGATATTCACTCTTTCTTAGTGAATAAAGTGTGTTTTTTTTATCATTGTTTATTTGTCATTTTCCTAGATTTATTTATTTTAGGATGCAATCTTTTGATTTTAGTACGTGTGTGTAATTTGTACTTTTCTGTAAGTTTGTTGCAAGGGGGTGTAAGGGAGTATTTTAGGTACCAAAAGAAGACAAGGAGAATCTTGAATATAAAGTTCTGGTATGCAACCCAGTCGGGTTGGAAGTGACATATGGAGCAACCAGGAAGCTACGCGCCGAAACCCGGTCGGGTTGGTACAAAACCTGGTGGGGTTGAGTTGACAAGGACAAAACAACGTGGTGAAGATCAAGAGTAGGGCTAAGCATACCGGACCCAACCCGAACAACCCGATCGGGTTTATCCGATCTGTGGGCTTTGGATCGGATTATCCGATCCGAAAGACAAAACCCGAACCGGCCCAAGACTTCTGGGATGACAAAGGGTTTCGGGTAGGGTATGGACTTTTGCTACCCGACCCGCCCGACCACTCTATATTACTGGCCCAATATATAAATATTAACCCTAACCCATTAACCCAACCGGCCAACCCTACACCCTTTAACCCTAAATCCTAATTATCGTTCACCATTTCACTGCTTTAGCCTTCAGCGCCTCTTTCCTTCAAAACCTTAATTCTCACTTCTTAGTTCTCTACTTTTCTGACTTCTCTTTGAAATCAGATTCTCTGACTCTCAGACTTGGTCGTCGTTGCTGGCTAGCCGACATTGCTGTCTGAGCCGATTGAGTAATGCACTTCTCTAGTTCTCTACTGCTTTGTTTGTCTCTGACTTCTCGGTTGGTAATTCATATTATGAATTTACGACTTCTGTCTGTCTTTGATACTTGATATCTTGGTTTATCTTCATCTGTTGCAGTCCATCTGTGTTCTGAAAAAGTGATAGACGAGTGCGTTGTTCTGTGGTGGTGGACTGTTGTTCCGGTGGAAGCCCTCAAGCCCATAGTCCGAAATCCTTAAACTCTGCCTTCCTGCAGTTGTGTGACCCAATATATTATATTTTCCTTGAGCTTTGCGCATCACTGAGGTATAAAATAATAAATACTTATGCATCTTGGGACATGGAAGCATTGTTTGATGATGAAATTGTAGTTTGACCCAATGTTTTCTGTGTAAATGTGTAATTGTATATGCATCTGTGATATGTGGAAGCTTGAATAAAGTATTGTTGTTTCTGGACTTTGTACATCAGAGTGATGATGAAATGGGTGTTTTTGAATTCTGAGTGTCACTGTGTGACCACCTTAGAATGATGATGAATTGGTTATTAAGTGATTTGGTTGAGAGTTTCTGAATTCTGAATGTACAATGTCAACATGAATTTGTTATGATGTATTAATATGCAATGTGTTACCCATAACACTATGATGAATTGATGATGAGTCATAAGTGGAAGCTACCCTGATATGATATTATTTGGTTATTTGTTTTCTGAATGTACAATGACATCTGATCACTTATCATGTGGAAGCTTATGATGTGAATGTGTTGCCTATTTCTCATTTCTGAATGTGTAATGTGTTGCCTATTTGTACATAACTGCACTTATGTACTGATGATTGATGAATAAGCCTTTTTTTTTACTCTTGTACTCAAACGAGTCATGAGAGTTGACTGGTTTCTTCCAAGTCTGTAGAGAAGTGATTATGCACAATGCATATTATCCTTCTGTAGATCAGCTTGCTGATTGTTCCAGACTTAGTGTATCATGTATGGTGTTACTTGAGGTGTAAGCTTAACTATATCATATAAACACTATGATCATGTGGAAGCTTATGATGTCAAAATGTTGCCTATTTATGAATGTGTGATGTGTTGCCTATTTGTGTACATAACTGCACTTTTGTTCTGATGATTGATGAAGAATCCTTTATGTACTCTTGTAATCAAACGAGTAATGAGAGTTGACTGGTTTCTTCCAAGTCTGTAGAGAAGTGATTATGCACACTGCATAATCCTTCTGTAGATCAGCTTGCTGATTGTTCTAGACTTAATGTATCATGTATGATGAATTGATGATGAGTGGAAGCTATCCTGATATTATGTGACATAAACAACTACATGATTATGCAACTTCCAATGCATATATGGAAGGTCAAACTTCTGAAAGTGTGAACATATCTTTATCTGGAACTCAAGCTCCTTTGAGTCAAGAAACAATGGTTGAAGCTGAAATTGGTGATCCTAACACTACCAATGACCCAACTGCAGTCACAGAACCACCTCCTGTTTTGGACAAAAAAGGAAAATGGTTGAAGTCAATCAAGTCAGATCTAAGATTTGGGAGCACTTTACCAAAATTAAGGATAGCAAAGGTGTGGTTATTAAGGGGAAGTGTGATTACTGTGCCAAAATATATTGTTGTCACTCAAAAAATCATGGTACTTCCTCCATCAGGAATCACATGCTTAGCTGCTTAAAAAAAACCCTCATGCTAAAGACACTAGACAGGACCTCTTAACCTTTCAATCAGTCCCTCCACAGTCAAGTCAACCTTCTGAAAATGTTGGAGTCATAGGAACCTGTGTCTTTGATCAAGATGCTACTAGGAGAGCTCTAGGAGAAATGCTAATCATTGATGAGCTTGCTTTTAGATTTGTAGACATACAAGGTTTTAGGACGTTTATGTCTGTAGCATGTCCTAGATTTGTAATTCCTTCTAGGTGGACAATTGCCAGAGACATCTATCAAATATACCTTGATGAAAGACTTATCCAAAAAAAAGATGTTCAGAGAACACAGTTAAAGAGTCAGTATTACCACTGATACATGGACATCTGTACAGAGGATAAATTATATGTGTATAACTGCTCATTTCATTGATGATCAGTGGAAGCTTCAGAAAAGAGTCAATTCCTTTGTCCC